GAAGCGGGCACTCAGAAAAAGGCCAGTTTCCTATGCTGTCCACAATCCCGGGCACATGCCTCTGGGGGCTGCAGCCCAAGATTACTCACCAGATGCGCAGCCCCTGGGGCTGTTGACTTATCTTCATGGAGCAGATAACAGCATTTTTGAGGTCAGGATCCAATACTCTGGGTGAGAGGCAGAGAAACAGGATGAGGGAGCAGGGGCAGAGCTGGACATACATGGAGAATGTCTCTCTCTCTCTCTCTCTCTCTCTCTCTCTCTCTCTCTCTCTCTCACTCACACACACACACACACACACACACACACACACACACACACACATACTTTCATCCTAAGCTCAGCCCTGTCACCTGACCCCTCTGGAAGCACAGATACCACTTTTGTCTCTGATCAGAAGCAAGCCCTGTTTCATTCTGATAGTTCTCAGGACAATCTCCCATCAGGGAGCCCAAGTCAGATCCATGGAGGATCCACCCCCATCGCTTGCCCATCATGCTCTCCTTGGTAGGATCGACACCATGTAAGGGGATCCCCACTCAGAAATAAAGGCAAGAGGAGCAAACAAAACCAAAGAGAAGCAAAGGCTAGTACGGAGGCCTGACCCCCCCAGCCCAGGTGCAGGCCCGCCTACCGGTGCAGTACATATTGCACCCCTTGGTGCTGTATTCCTTGAGAGTCTTGCACCACTTCCGACTGTTGATCTGGAAGATGCCGTTGTTGGTGCTTCCATCAGCTTCATGGTCCACAGCAGCTGAGTCAAAGCCACTTGTGTAATAAGCAAGACAAAGCCCTGTACAGGGTAGAGACATAGACCAAAGGGTCCCATGGTCAAGGCCACCTCAGACCAGAGTGCTCACAGTGCAGATCTCAATGTTAGCTCCTTGGAGCCTCAACTCCTGCTTCGAGGTGATCAGAGCAGAGGCCCTCCCTCCCACTTAACAGAGGAATCCACTGAGCCTCAGAAGGCCAAGTGACTTACTCAAGGTTACATACAGCTACCAAAGAGCAAGTCAAGACTGGGCCCCAGACCTCCTGCCCCTAGGCCAGCAATCTCCTCATTGTCTCATTGTGCTACACATAGTCAAGTCCAAGAAATGTTTGTGGGATGAAGGAATAAGAACAAAATCCTTAGAGGCAACATTAGAAAGATGCAGGTGGAACCTGTAGAGGGGCTACACTTAGCGCAATGATTCTCAACCTTCTGGTCCTTTAAATACAGTTCCTCATGTTGTGACCCCAACCATAAAATTATTTTCGTTGCTACTTCATAACTGTAATATTGCTACTGTTGTGAATCATAATGTAAATATCTGATATGCAGGATGGTCTTAGGCAACCCCCATGAAAGGGTCGTTCGACTGCCAAAGGGTCGCGACCCACAGGTTGAGAACCGCTGACCTAGAGGCACATGAGTCCAGGTGTGGCTGTACTCCACAGCTTCCCAAACTGCCACCAGCTTGCAACGCTTGGCATTGCAGGTGTATTCAGTTTGCCCTAAACTTCAGTGGGAATGTCTAATCTTCATGCCAAGATTAAGATTAGGATATAAACTATTCTGTTGACTTTAGCAGTGGGGGCCATGAAAGGGCCATTATAATTTGACTGCCTGTTGCCTGCCTGCTAAATATCGAACTCTGTGCTGGGTGTTCGCTACCTGTGACCTCACATAATTCTTGTTTTACAAATGAGAACTGAGGCTCAGAAAGCTCCTGAGGACACACCCCTTGAATGAGGAGGGGTAGGAGGAGGAGGGAGAGGAGAGGGAAGAAACGGTGGATGGAGGGGGACAGGACCAGCCAGGAAGAGGGGTGCTCACAGTCAGCCAGGCTGTGGCCACGGTATCCCTCCAGGCCGAATTCCTGGAGCACTCGGAACAGCTCACAGCGACTGTAGACTTTGGCTTGGCCACAGGTGAGCAGGCAGCTTAGCAGAGAAGCAACGACCAGCAACAGGATCCCAGGTGGGCACAGCTGCCTTCTGGGAGCCCAGCCCCTGGCTTCCATGCAGGACGCAGAGGTGGAGCCCCCACCACGCCGGCTCAGAGCTGGGCTTTGAGACAGCGGGCAGCTCCACAGCCCTGGCCGTCCTCCCACAGGAGTCTAACCCTTAGAAGAAGGAGAGAAACGGGGCCTGAGTGGACCTGGAAATGGGAGAAGGCTCCATACTGCCAACCAGCTGCCTTGCAGCCCTGATGAGGCATCAGTCACTCTCCCAAGATCCCGGAGAGGGTTTCCTGAGGCCCGCGCCTCTCCCTTCCAATCCTACTTGACACCACCCTGTCCCAGAAGCTAGGAGAAGAGGCAGGGACTTGGGGGAGAAAACAACCCTATTTTGAGCCCCATACGATATGCCAGGCAGTACTGAATCCTGAGGCCTGAGATTTTATAACTAGGAAGGAGCAACGTTTGGATGGAGACCAAAGTTTCTATGAATCCAAAGTCCCACTGGGGTATGGCCATGAGAGGATGTTCCCAGAGGGGCCGGGCCGGGCAGTGTCATGGGTGTAAATCAGTCCCTGAGCCCGACTGCCAAGGAAAGTCTCTTCTGGCACAGAAACTCCCTCCCTGGCCTGAACTGAAGCAAGGTCACCTGCAGCCTCTAAGTGGAAACAGTTCTTTCTCCCGCACACACAGGTCCCAAGGCCGTGCTGAAACGCTCCGGCATGCCCACTGCCCCTTCCAAACAATCACCTTGCCAAAGCCCTCCACCCTGGAGGCCGCCTTCTCAGGCCTCTTCTCCACTTCAGGAGACCCTGGGCAGCCCTGCTGTCACCTCTGCTGGAGGCTGATGACTTATTACATCTTCCCAGGGCAACAGACCTGGACCTCTCCACCTGCACATCCCAGTCATCTCAAGCCAAGCTCGCCTACAACAGAACGCACGTTCCCACCAACAGCTGCTCTTCCCTATCGTGGTTGAAAACATTCTTGGTTGTAAACCCAGGATGTTTTTCCAAACTAGAAATATAGATGTTGCTCTTCACTCCTTCCCTTCGTCACTCCATCCTTCACCCATCCCAACCGATCAATCCCGAGGTGCTGTTGATGCTACTGTCCCTCCCAGCCTTCCTGCCCCTGGTTCAGAGCACCGTCCTGGTGTGAGGATGGTCTCCTTGTACCCAGTCCTGTCTCTTCTTCCGAAGTGTTTGATGCATATTCACCAGAATAAATCTTTGAAACATAAAGCCTGTGACAGCCTTTGATAGCTCCCTTCATCACTGCTCCTAAACAGGATCTACGGGGCCCCTCAGGATCCAGCCCGAGGACCCCTCCTCCCTCACACTTGAAGTTCCAGTAACACTGTATTCAACCCAAGATGGTCCTGCCGTCTAGGACAGAAAGTCTCCCCTTCCCTTTACATGATTAACTCTTACTCAGACATCAAGGGTCCCATCAGAGATGACTTCTCCAGCAAGACTTCCCCGGGAGGCCACTGCTCCCCAACACCCAAAGCACCCTGTGCTTCTGCCCTCCTCTGTCCCACTGGACTGGAGTATGTGTTAGTCTTTCCCACCACAAGGTAAACTTGCAAAGAACAGTAGCTGTTTTATTCATCTTACATCCTAGGGGTCAAGCAGAGCTGCTGCTATGGAGTGGCTGTTCAATGGATGCTTCTTAAGTGGAAATATCCTGAAGTGGTGCCCACAAAAGTATGAGCGCTTCCCATCAAAGTGCAGGAAAGAAAGGGAAGACGATTAACCTGAGTTCACACCTGGCAGACACGGTGCCCAGCCTTTTCCGGATGCCTTCCAACTTAATCTCATCTAATCCTCTCAACAATCCACGCGGGACAGGGTTATGATCCCCATTTTATAGACAAAGAAACCAAAGTGACTGCTCTTCAGACTGTTTTTGAATTTTTGCAGCAAAGTGACTTACAAGTCATTTTATCGGGAGCATTTCACAGCAGGTCTACTAGTAGAGGCACAAGGAGGCAGGTCTGCTGACTCAGAGACCAGAGACCTGCCAGTGTGGGTCGGTCTCTCTCTCTCTCTCTCTCTCTCTCTCTCTCTCTCCCTCTCTCTCTCTCTCTCTCCCTCTCTATCTATCTCTCTATTTCTCTCTCAACTCACCACCTCCCAGCCCAGGATGCCTCGATCTCTGACCACCCCCCTTCTCACTCCATGCCCCTCCCTGGCCAGCCCAGCCCAGGGACCTCGTTAACAGCTGCAGGAAGAGGGGCAGGGGGCTCACTGAGCAGGTGTGGTTCCCACCAAGGCTGACGCAGCAGTGATGGTGCCAAGACGCCACTTCAGGTGAGGACCACGCCCGTGACAGTGCCGGGTCCCCAGGTGCCCAGGCGGTCTCTAAACTCACATGGGGCCTTCTGGAACTCCCCAGTTCTGTGAGCTCATCTTCTAGAACCATCTCTCTCCCACTGACGTTCAACCAGTCCCCCTAAGCCCCTCAATTGCAGAGCCTTGGGGACATATGAGGATATTTAAGTGCAACTTCCCTTGCCCATCTCTACAAACACACACACACACAAACACACACACACACACACACACACTATATATATATATATATATATAGGGTTTAATATATTTTTATTGATTTCAGAGAGGTAGGGAGAGGGAGATAAAAATGTCAATGAGAGAGAATCATTGATTGGCTGCCTCCTGCACGCCCCCTACTGGGGATTGAGCCCACAACCCAAACATGTGCCCTGACTAGGAATTGAACCGTGACCTACTGGTTCATAGGCCGATGCTCAACCACTGAGCTACGCTGGCCGGGCCACACACACTAATTTGAAGGATGACCCTTCTCCTCCTAACAGACCTTTCCAGTGACTGATTACCCAGCAATGTCAACAGGTGCCCACTGTCTCCCCAGGTAGCCTCTCCCACCGCCAAACCCCTCTAATTGGCTGAAAGTTCTAGAATGCTGAGCCACACACCACCCCCCTTCTCCGTCTGGATGATGACTCTTCAGTGTGGACAAGCTTGGAACAAAGATGACGCTGTGGACCCTAAAGCGTGGGGGACACAGAAGTGACGTGGAAGGGCATGCGGCCACCATGTCTGTGCCCGCAGAGGCCCTGCTGGGAGCTGTGTGGCACAGCAGGGAGGCATGGGCTCTGGAGTCAGGCTGAGCTGGGCAGGAACACAGGCGCTGGTGGCTACCAGCTGGGTGACCCAGAAAAGTGACTCAACCTCTCAGTTTCCTCAATTCTCAAGTAGGAATAACAACTCCTGGAACATCTGTATAGATGCTTAGTACTTAAAGTACTTAGTTCTTAATGCTTAGTACTCAGAGTGCTTAATACACTGGCACAGTTACTACTAAGAGCTCAGCACAGCCATAAATGGGTTCAGTTGCACCAGGTGCCTCCTCTCTGCCTGACTGACCAGGTTAGAACTGAGAATTAGTGCAGCCACAGTCACAATTTTTTTATTTTGTATGCTTCCTTTTATTTTTTTAATATATTTTTATTTATTTCAGAGAGGAAGGGAGAGGGAGAGAGAGAGAAACATCAATGATGAGAGAGAATCATTGATCAGCTGCCTCCTGCCTATTGAGCCCGAAACCCAGGCATGTGCCCTTGACCAGACTGAACCTGGGACCCTTCAGTCTGCAGGCTGATACTCTATCCACTGAGCCAAAATGGCTGGGACACAATTTCTTTTTTCTTTAAAAATTTTATTGTGGTACAAACACTTAACATGAGCTCTAGCCTCAAGAAATTTCTAAGTGTCTAATATAGTACTGCTGGCTATAGGGTACAGTGTTGTACAACAGATCTCATGGCTGATTCATCTTGCTCTCCTAAAACTTTCTGCCCATGGATTAGTAACTTCCCAGCCCCTGGCAACCACCATTCCACTGAGTCTCTGAGTGTGACTATTTTAGATCCCTCATATAAGTGAAATCATGCAGTATTTGTCTTTCTGTCACTGGCTTATTTCATTGAGCACAGTATCCTCAAGGGTCATCCATGTTGTCGTGTATTGCAGAATTTCCTTTTTTAAGGCTGACGAGTATTCCATTGTATATACAACATATACAACTTCTTTATCCAGTCATCGGTCCGTGGACATTAGATTGTTTCCACAACTTGCCTATTATGAATAGTGCTGCAATGAACACAGGAGTGCTAATATCTCTTTGAGATCCTGATTTCAAATCTTTTGGATAAATGCCCAGAAGTGGGTTTGCTGGATCATTCGGTGGTTCTATTTTTGATGGTTTAAGGACCCTCCATGCAGTTTTCCATAGTGGCTGCACCATTTTGCAGTCCCACCAACATCCGCAAGACTTTGAGCTTCTCCACATCCTTGGCAATCCTTGTTGTGTCTTGGATACTGTGAGATACGCACTGTGGTTTTGATTTGCATTTCTCTATTGACTAGTGATGCTAGGCATCTCTTTCCATGTACCTGTCGGCCATTGGCACGTCTTCTTTGGAAAAATGTCTACTCGGCACCAGAATTACTTAAAAGCTCCCAGATGCCTCCAGTGTGCGGCCAGGCCTGAGCCTTTATTCAGGGGAAAGAGCTCTGCACTTGAGTTAGATAAACCCAAGTTCACTGTCTTGCTTGACCCCTGCCTGGCTGTTTAGTCTTGAGGCGTGAACCTCCATTTCTTCATCTATGGAATGGAGTTGGGGCCCAGTCCTGGCCCCTGGAACCCTGGTTCTCAGTTCCCAAGCCTCATTTTGCTCGTCTGTAAAATGGAAATACTCCTCCCTTGCTGTCTCCGTGACCACTTAGACAGGTTGATCTAAGTCAGTGGTTCTCAACCTTCCTAATGCCGTGACCCTTTAATACAGTTCCTCATGTTGTGGTGACCCCCAACCATAAAATAATTTTCGTTGCTACTTCATAACTGTAATGTTGCTACTGTTATGAATCGTAATGTAAATATCTGATATGCAGGATGTATTTAGGCAACCCCTGTGAAAGGGTCGTTCGACCCCCAAAGGGGTCACGACCCACAGGTTGAGAACCACTGACTTAGATCAACCCATTTTCGCTATTGTTTTTATCGCCTGGTCCCTCGGTGGTGATTCTGTCTGGTTGAGTTTTGGATTTTTTACTGCATCGGCCTGCTTTTACCATTTTATC